ACGTTTTTGTCAAGAGGGAAAAATTACAGCCAACTTGAAAAAGAAGCTCGGGCAATTATATTCGCTGTGAAGAAATTTCATGAATATATTCATGGAAGAAATTTTATGTTGCAAACAGACCACATACTTTATTAACAATATATAGTTCAAAGAAATGTATACTAAATCATACAGCTAATAGACTACAAAACTAGTGATCCATGCTGTTAAATTATGGAGTGTCAACTGTTTGAAAATTAGTACATGCGGATGGATTATCAAGAGGATTACCTAAAAAATACGGAACCATTGGAGGATGCGGTCATCATGCTACGAAAAACGAAATGGTAATAAAAAAACATTGGATAAAATAAAAGAAAAAAGAGGAAATTGGCGTCTTTATTGCGAAAATAAAAAAAAACATTGAAAGAAATTAAGAAAGAATGAAATTCAGACTTAAACACGTACTCGATATACGATGGTGTAGTAACGTGCAGTGAAAGAATTGTAAAACCGAGTGTGTTAGAGAAAAAATATTAAAGAACTTTCACTGTGGACATACTTGTATTTCTAGAATGAAATTTATGATGAGAAGTTTCGTATATTGAACCGGAATGGACAAAGATATTGAAAGAAGAGTAAAAACATGTAGAGGTTATGATAAAACCTTGGCCAAAGACAGACATGTCGTGGTCGAGGCAGTATATAGATTTTGCAGGTCCTATTAATGGATCATATTATCTCTTGGTAGTTGATAGTTTTACAAAATGACCTGAAACTTCTAAGTGCGAAAATCCACCTTCCTCAGCGATAGTAAATTTATTGCATTAACTTTTTTTGCGAGATATGGCATACAACATAAAACAGTATAGAATAATGGAACGCAATTTCCGAATAAAGGATTCCAAGATGTTTCTAAGATATTCTCCATTGAACATGTTACGACTACGCTGTATCAAACAAAATCAAACGAACAAGCGGAACGGTTTATAGGAATGATCAAAAGTGAGCGAAATAAAGGGTTCAGTTCGATATTCCAACCACTTCAACGGCCGAAACGTTGTAATAAATATGGCGACAAAGATGAGGACAATAGTCCAAATAATGTAAATAGTGTACAGGAATCGAGAAGTTGATTTACATGGTGAAAGGGAAAATATTTGAACATAAAAGATACAATAATCGGCTGAAAAAAGAATCATTGATGAAAAACCTGTAATATTGGAAGAACCAATAAAAATGCTATATAATGTTTTCGATGTGCCAGCACCACAACAAGTCGTGAAACCGACAAGAACAATTTCTAGGGAAAAGACAGCTTACTGAACAACTGGAAGTGGATCCGAGACGGAAATGCTACAAAAATCAAGTACTTAGACAAACTGACAGGAAAGTGTAGAGGGAGGTACTAAGACTAATAAAAAATAAAATATTTATAAAAATTAGTAATCTCAAAAGGGGGAATGTTCCGGAGTAAATAGTGAACCCTCGGTGACTATATGAACTAGTTCATTACAATTAAGAGCTCGAGATCAGACTAATAATAGTTTCGACCCAGTCTGATCGCCTGGCACGCGACTGATATGATCTCTGTTTTCGGACAGAGGATGAATCAGTCGTGTCTTTGCAGTTAGATACTCGGCTGAGAAAAGAAGACACTTAATGTACCGAATCCCGCTTTTGCGGAGTAAAGGTAAATTTTGAACATTTGCACGAGTGAATACGCCCAGGTTCCCCCACAATAATCCCGATCCTGTGACATATCTCATCTCAGTGGGGGACTGGGTAAATAGTTGTTTCGAACCGGGCAATTCGCTCTCTAGCTTGTAACTATTTTCTTCGGAGAGAGGATGACTCAGTCAGAGTTCTGTCCTCGGATAGAGACTCGGCTGAGTAGAACAGACTAGTAAAAATGCTTTTCCGCGCGGTTACAGGGAATAAGTGTACGCACTCGGTTTCCCAACGGTTAATCTAAGCTTATGTCATATTCCGTCTCAGTGGAAAGGCAGGAATGAATAGCTAGCCTTTTGGAGTCAGGTGTCTCGTCAAGTAGCGAAAACAATACGTGGAGAGTATGTTATATAATTAAGAATGTGTCATAACAATAGGTAAAAATAATGGATTTATCATAAGAGGTAGCATTCTGAGGAGTTAAGTAGCCAGACATGACTGGTTTCTCCAGCTGGTGTGGCATGGTGCAGAGTCCTGTTACCAAACATAGAGTCTTCAATCAACCAGTATCTTGACCCAGAGTAGCACTACCTCCTCAAGGCACTTGCGGTAGGGCTCCTTTCATAAGGGGTTGCACTCTGGGGAGTTGGTGGCCAGATATAAGAGCGGATGTGGTCGCAGAAATTGTCTGACATACATGACTGGATTCTCCTGCTGGTGTGGAATGGTGCAGAGTCCTGTTACCAGACATAGGGTCTTCCATCAAACTCCATCTTAACCCAGGACAGCACTACCTCGTCAATGCATTTGAGGTAGGACTCCTTGTTAAACATGTGTTCCTCACCAAACAATTCGGGTGTGTTTTCCGAGTTGCCATACCTTCCTAATCGAAATTAGACTCATCCAACTCTTTCTAAATCCTCTGCACTGTCCTCAGATTGAGACCAAAAACTCATTATTCGGACTATTGTCCTTATCTTTATCGCCATATTTATTACAACGTTTCGGCTGTTGTGGATAAAGACGTTAGTTAGATCCAGTGACAGGACCCAAAGCGTGTGAATTCAATACCCTGTTAAACTGTGAAGAACTTGGAGAGGGGAATTCGCAGGAGGTAACTGATAATGTACATCCATCAAACATGGCACGTGGAAATGAACAGTCTACCCCAGTGAGCGAAATAAAGGGTTCAGTTCGACATTCCAACCACCTGAAAAGGCCGGAGCGTACAACGGCCGAAATGCTGTAATAAATATGGAGACAAAGGTGGGAAAAATAGTCCGAATAATGTAAATAGTGAAGAATGATGCATTTTAGGTCTAATCTGGCTCTTTAAATACTATGATAGCACGGGTAATGAGTGGTTTTATTAGGCGACCATTTTTCTTCAACTTTAGCGATAACTCGTATGTGCAATTTCTACTTGAGGTCAAGGTTGAGCTTAAATCCAATAGCTATATTTTTTAGTTATACTAGTTCATTTACAACTAGGAAGCGCCATCAGGCATTACAGAGGGTCAAATCAAACGCAATGTATTCACATTTCATTTGTAATAAGGTAATTCCACTCAGACGTTTTCTTTCCAAGAATCGCTGCTTTGCGAAAGAATCTACAGATAGAAATGTCTGCTTAACTTTAATGCCTCAAAAACAAAAATGGTTTAATTTAATGCCTCAAAAACAAATCTACTCTTTTTAGCCACTACAGAGAACACTTCTGCCTCTCATTAGAATGACTGATGCTCAACTCCACGACAGCACCTCTCTGCGACAGCTTGGTCTTCCACTGTCAGCTGCTCTGAGATGGAACAAATACATTGAATCAATAGCTTCATCCCCCACGAGGAAATTTGGTTCCCTGTGTCGTGCCAAAATGTTTTTCTCGCCTGAGTCCATCCTTCAAATCCATAAATCAACCATTCGCCATTGGATGGAATACTGCTGCCATATATGGCCCGGTGCCTCCGCTGTTCGTCTTAAGGTCTTCGATAAAATCCAGAGACGGATATGCAATGTGATTGACCCTGATCTGGCATCTCGTTTACATTCATTTTCTCACAGACGTGCCGTCTTTTCTACAAATACTTTTACGGTAAGTGCTCCGACAAGCTACTTTCGCTGGTTCTCAAACTGCATGAATTTAAACGTGCTACTAGGTTGGCATCACATTCCCACTCTTTCACTGTCGAAACGGTTAAATGTAGCCGTCTCTTCTACTCCAATAGCTTCATGTCTCGCACTTCCCGTCTGTGGAACTCACTTCCTCTTGCTTCTCTGGTAGCTATAATCTTCACATATTCAAATGCAATGTCAATCGACATCTCCAGATTCCTTAATCTATTCCCGTCCTTCTCTTTAACTTTTCCCGTATCCCACCTCTTTACTCTTGCTCTCACTTTGTGTAACCCCTTGCGTGCTAGTGGCACTCCCTCCTTGCTTAGGGTAAAATGCTTAAAAAACATCTTCTCCGATCACTACCTGTTTATCTCTTAGCATCCAGGGACAACGGTTATCTATCCTATATAACGATAAAATCTATCATCACTTAATCCTCTTGCATCCATAGTTTAAATTTCGTCTTTGCTTATGTCATGGGACCTTACCCATAATAACATAATGGACTATTCCATACGTAATAAATACTGCGCCTCAAGAGGAAGCAGAGAGTTCAGCCTGAAGTCGGGCGACCGGCTGATCGGTTGATCGGCTGATCGGTTAAACTCTCTGCCTTCGGGCGGGGAGGAACCCGAACGAGGCTACGCCGAAGGGCGGAGTCTCTTTCGGGTCAAACCGACCCTGAACTCGTTTATACGTGTTCAAAGGGAATATTTTTGGCCGATCCCACGGGCTCGGAGATCCCATGGGCTCGGAGATCCCACGTTAAACCGTTCTTGTGCCACATGATGCCCTCGTGGGGGTGATGACTAAATACTGTTCAGTCTGAAGTCTGGAGTGAGGTCCGTCAGGAGTCTGTCAGTCAGAGCGAGCGAGTTAGTCAGTCGAGTCATAGGCAGTCCGAAACAGAGTCGCGTTCAGACAATTACTACTAAAACTGATTGTTCGTACTAACACTTTCTACTTCTCTGTATATATTCCTGTTTGTAATATATCTATGTTATTCCATATTCATGTTCGAGTTCTTCTTTATTGGTTCTACCTTGGACTATCACCGTGGTACAAGGAACCGGACCATAACAGCTTACATGTTAGGTCCATGTATTCCCAGCATCCTTCTGTAGAATTACAATTCTGTTGCTTCAAATTTTCTTCTTCTGAGAAAAGATTTTTCTACTATCCATTAGTATTTCCTTTTGAAATATAGAATAAAAACCATTTTGTATATATCATGTATGTCTTCTTCTCTGAACATACTTTTTCTTTTTCTCGTTCGTTTTCAATTTCTTTTTTTTACTTTTTCTCTATTCCTCCGTTTTCTATATATTTTCCCTTATTTTTTCTTTCGTTTTTTCATTGCCCTTTTCTTTTCCCTCTTTCATTATTTCTTTCTTTTTCATTTACCATTTGTTTCTCTCTATATAATTACTTCTCGTTCTTTTTCTCGTCTCTTCGTTTCTCTGTTTCTTTTCAAACTCTTTCGATCTTTCTGTTTTGCTCTTCTCTCTTTCTATTTATATATCTCTTTCCATACCTCTTTCTCTTTCCGAATCTATCACTGTATACCTCCCTTTAGTCTCTCTTATTTCTTCTTTCTTTCTTTCTTTCTTTTTTCTTTCTTTCTTTCTATCTTTTATTTCTTTCACCTTTCTTTCTTTGATTCTTTTTTTCTTTCTTTCTTTCTTTCTCCTTTTTCTTTCTTTCCTTCTTTTTTTTCTTTCTTTCTCCTTTTTCTTTCTTTTTCTTTCTTTCTTTCTTTCTTTCTTTCTTTCTTTCTTTCTTTTTTTGTCGATTTCCACTATCTTCCTTTCTCTCTTTAACATTTTCTGTTTAATTCTATCACCTAAACCTTCTCACTCATTCTTTCCCTGTCTTTCTCTAAGATTTTCACTTTATTTTTCTCTCTATCTTCTCTATCTCTATCTCTTTCTCTCTCTCTCTATCTCTCTCTCTCTCTATCTCTCTCTCTCTCTCTGTGAACGTATTTTTCTTTGTATTTTTTCAATGCCACTTTTGCGTTCTATTTCCTTATACTCTTAGATTAAGAACCTCTTTCTCATTTTTTATTTCCATTTCTTTTTTTCTTTTTCCTCTTTCGTTCTTTCTTTCTCGGTTCACACTCTCTTCCCTTTTGTCTTTCCCATTTTCTCTTTCATTCACTATCTCTCTCTCTCTCTCCCTCTCCCTCTTTCATTTCCTCCTTCGTACATATCTTACTCTAAATCTTTTTCCTTTTCTTTTTCACACTCTTTTTTTCTCAGTCTTTCTCTGTACGTTTCTTTTTTCTTTCGTTTTTTTTCTTTCACTTCCTCCATTTTGTATTCTATTTTCTACCACTCTCATCCTTTTTTTATTTGCATTTCCGCCTTTCTTTCTTTCTTTCTTTCTTTCTTTCGTTCGTTCGTTCTTTCTTTCTTCCTCGATTCTCATTTTCTTCCCCATTTTCTTCTTTTCATTCACTATCTCACTACCTCTTACTTTCATTCTCTCCTTCTTACATATATTTCACTAAATATTTTTGATTTTCTTTTTCCAACTCCTCTTTTCACTCACTTTCTCTGCACATAACTTTTTCTTTCGTTTTCTTTTTGTTTTTCTTTCACTTCCTCACTTTTGCGTTATGTTCTCTTACTCTTCTTCTCCCTTTCTCCTTTTTTTATTTTTCATTGATATATATATATATATCCATCCTCTTTTTTCTTCCATCTTTCTTTTTATCTCACATTCAATTTCGTTTGAGTTCTAGCCACTTAGGTTCTTTGTTGATTCAACATAAAATTTTGACACGTTGGCCATTTATAAATTAGAATAAAAACATTTTGCAAACAACTAGAATTGAATAACAAAATGGAACGAAACCGCCTTCAGAATATTTAAGGAATATTTCGTATTTTAGATCAACCTTTCATTTCGCCATATCTTCTGCTTATAGTTTCCGAAAGAATACAAAAGAAGAAAACTTGCCCTTTCAAACTTACGGCTTGATACAGAGAATGAAAAAAAAATGAATAAAGAATACTTTGTCGAATTGTTAAGATTAAACCACGCCGTACACGATTGGCTTACTCGAGAATTTAGAAAATATTTTTGTTAGTCAAGTCTGGTGACCCAGATGTCTCGACGTGATGATGTTAAAAATATATTTTTACATTTTATCTAAGTGTATTGTTCGGGAAATTACTGCAAACGTGCCGACATTTGCAAGATCTAATCTTTTAAAACCGAAACGCATTATTCAACTTTTAAAATCCGGGAGAAAGTTTAAAACCTCTCCAAAGTGGAAGTTGACAGGGAAATGTGTTATTTTAAATACTAAAATAGAAAGCTTATGTTGCTAAATTTTGTTTTTATGACAAAAGCATTAATACAGTCCTTGAAAGAGAATTCGTTTCTTTATATTTTCGAGCGCTGAAACGAGAAAGTTTTTCGAGGTAACAGCACATTAGAAGTCTGTTCTTTATTTTCTTTGCAATGAAGTACAATTGATTAGAATTCTATGTTCTTAAAACACAAAATAACTAAAGAAAATGAAAACCTGTCTCTACCCTAATATATATATATATATATATATATATATATATATATACAGAAAATGTTGCAAATTAAAAAAAATAATGTTTTTTATGAAAGTATTTATTTATATTTAATATTTCAGATCGACCGATCTTTCTTCAGAAATAACTGTTTTTAGAGGTTTTAGAAACTTTTTAGAAATGACTGTTTTTAGATGTTTTAGAAACCTCTAAAAACAGTTATTAATATATTTCAGATCAAACTCGATCTTTCTTGGGAAATAACTGCTTTAGAAACCTCTACAAACAGTTATTTCTAAAAAAAATTTCTACAACCTCTAAAAACAGATATTTCTGAAGAAAGATCGAGGTCGATCTGAAATATCAAATATAAATATATACTTTCATAAAAATACATTATTTTTATTAATTTGCAACTTTATATATATATAGAGAGAGATAGATAGATAGATAGATAGATAGATAGATAGATAGTAAGGGAATAAATCCGTTGGTATGTAATCCAAGCTTATTTCGACCAGCGAAAATATGATTCGACAGTTTTATCAATCCCGGTATAGACTGAGTTCATGACGGAAATAGAAATTTAACTGTGAAAGCTACAGAAAAAAACCTCAAAAACTGATACAGAATGTATAGATTTCAATGTTTTAGTCAGACGAAAGGCACAACAAAGTGGTCAGGAGAGAGTGGATGGTATATGTCTTAAAAGGAAGAGGAATATTGAATCTCACCATGGTCGATTTGTCAGGAGGGAGATTTCTTGCGTTATTGGTCTCGAGGTGGCAATCTCAGTGAAGCGCCAAATTTGGAAAGTTCCTAAAAGCCAATCCACGGGTTGACTAAGGCCTTGAGAGTGAAATTGGGTAGACGGAACCCTTTTCGAGCCGTCGATGTTTAGGCTAGCACGAAGTAACAAGACATCTTGATCGAGGGTTTGAACGTGCTAGGCTTGTTCAGATTGTTGATCACGCTAGATAACACGCTCTCATCCGCTTAGAATATAAACCATCTATGGGTGCTGAACACACACAAATATAGCTCAGCTGCCATCTGTAAAAGGGATTAGCTAGCCGCCCTAATGGATGTGCATCCTCGGATACGTGTGGCCATCCATCCATCAACACATATATATACTAGCAGCATGGCTCGGCGTTGCTCGTGCTTGATTCAAAATTCGCACAACTCATACAGCAATCGCTATCACTTGACTTAAAATATTTTTCCTTTAAAGAAGTGCCTTTTGCCGTGCTGATGTTGCTATATGCCTTACTTCTTGTCTATCTCACACTGCGAATTTTTTCTAAGCTCTATACTAAACATTAAATCTGTTACAAAAAATGAACTAAACAAAATGAACACAAAACGATCAGCTTTAAAAAAATGGACTCGTAACTGGAAAAACCGAATGAAAAAAGAATGTTAACAAAAAATACTTTTTCTCACCCAACCCAGTTCTGCGGAATCAGAATAAACGCTGAGTTTAAGCAAGAGAATGAGCCAATTGGAGTGAAGTGCCATGCAGATTTAAATGTTTCCCACTTGTGACGAATGCGGCTATCGATTTTTTTGCATGCTAGCATGCTAGTTAACATTCGTGTCAGTCAGCTGTTGGCTCTCACGCTGGCCAATAGAATCTTCCTGCCTATTCGTGGCAGCCAGCTATAGGCACTCACTCTGGCCAGTAGAAAATGGCCGCAAACTACATGAAAACATACACACACCCTGCTTTATATATATATATATATATATATATATATATGTGTGTGTGTGTGTGTGTGTGTGTGTGTGTGTCTATGTGTGTGTGTCTGTGTGTATGTGTATCAAATATGTGGTGCAGATTAATTTATATTACAAGGAATTATTCATACAAAATTAGTAAAGTTAATGATATAAAATGGCGAAATCCCTTCGCTAACTAAATGTAATAGATGCATTAACCCACTAACCACTCGATGAATGTTATGATCCTTGTTGTTTTTTTTTTGTTTTTGTTTTTGTAAATTATAAACTGTATTAGGTCATCATTAAATATGCAAGTACTTTCGACGTTTCCTGCGGTCATCCTCAGACATGCAAACTATTTTGTTTTTGGTAAAATTCGGGTAGCATCCGAGGCGAAAAAATATAATGCAAATCGAAATATGTCTTTTTTTTCTTTAAGATTGTTATTGGCAACAGATACCAACTTGTGGAGCGTGCAGTCGCAACGCTAAGATTTAATTTTTGAAAATTTAAGTGAGAGCGTTTTTTACTAATATGGCAATTTAATCCAGTGATTAGTGGGTTAATGAATTTTTAAAATTTAGTTTGCGAAGGGATTTCGCCACTTTATATCATTATCTTAACTAATTATATGTGGTTTGTAATACTTGAGAGTTATTTATTCATGCGTGGTGTGTATTAGCTAAGTACACCTAAGTACCGCCGTCTTGTTCATTGACCTCTGTCTAGGACTCCCTCTGCGCAGTGACAACATGGTATGAATTAACTGGATGCATACACAGCTATGGAAGCTACGCTATCCCATTGCGCTAGATAGATTCATCAGGACATTAAAATGTGTTGATTTTAATCCACCTCGGTGTCTTCCTCTTTAGAATAAAAGCCTTTTGGTGGAACAGGGTAGTCGCTGAGTACCTGACCACGCAGATAGATGTAACTAAAACATCAATGGAACTCGTACAGGAAAATAAAACACA